ACAATGCACACTGCAAGAGCCGGTGTCAGTGTTAAGTAACAATGCACACTGCAAGAGCCGGTGTCAGTGTTAAGTAACAATGCACACTGTGAGAGCCGGTGTCAGTGTTAAGTAACAATGCACACTGCAAGAGCCGGTGTCAGTGTTAAGTAACAAAATGAAATAGCTGGTCCTGCCATGTGCGGGGGGGGCCTGGAGGAAGCAGATGCCAAGCCTGCAGAGCTGTCAAGCTGCACGTTCAGTTATCATTTCCAAATGCGAGCGCCAGCCCTTTAAGCATTTGCATTTTAATCAATACACGCATCGCCTCTGGGTCCTTTAGGAATTCTCCACTGAAATGTAGCGTGTTCTCCTTCTGCATCCTGTCGGTCATCTCGCTGAATAAAATGCCACTGAACCCCTGTCAGGGTGCGACCATGTCCGGAGAGAGGGCTGCAGGGGGACCCTCCCCAGCCACACCTGTGGGCTGCCTTTGTTGACCCCGCGTCTGGATGATGACTGACAAGATGGCATCGTCCTTTCTAACCTTCTCTCAGCTCTTGACGTTGACGCCGCAGCCTCGGGTGAAAGGCACTGCCGGACAGTTTATGGAGCCCGTGCAGCTTGTTAGATGTGGAGATGTGCCTGTTCACCTCTGCGACAGTTACACCCCATTAGTGTGAATTTTGGGCTACTTCTCATAGGGGGTGCCATCGAGGGCCAGGTCCTTTTACATCTGGTGGCCTGTGAATGAACCCAGTCAACCTGCCCCCCCGTCATTAGACTTCCCAAAGCTCTTATCTATAATGCACTATTGACACCTTCATAATGCAATGCAAAGAATCCTTAATTATTATACTGACCATTATAATGTTTCATGAATATATTTAGGGTGCCTTATAGATGTGAGCTTCATAAAGCATAATGAATAATAAACATGTCTGTGATGTATTACATTATAATGCATTATGAAGGTACCTGTATCTATAATGCATTATAATGACTGCTTTAAGTAAAGTATTAGCATGTTTTGTTTTTATGATTTTCCAGGTTAGTTAGAACTAATGGAGTAACAGCAGATTATCCAGTCAGTGCGGAACGTTCAAGTTAATTTCGCTTTCTAACGCAAAATACAATATGATGCAGATAATTATATTTACATATAAAAATCAAAAATGGTGTTGTAAACAATTTATCTGAGCACCTGGCACTTGGTCTTGGACTTGACATAAAAAGAGAACAAGCTTTTATTAAGTTATGAATATATGAATGCATAAATAGGTGGATATTACTGTGGCCTACTTTTGTTCAAAGCCTTTTTAGTCATTAGAAGAAGAAGGAGGTGTAATGGTGAAAAATGTAAAAATCTGTAATCAAACACCAACAGTAAACAGAAATTCACACCACCACTTCCGCAGGGTCCCGTGCGACACACGAGCTTGTACAGGATAAATGTTATTAAAATTCCTGCAGCTTTTCTTAGATAATTTAAAATGAGTCTCAGCCCAAGGGTGCTATATGGTATACCATAGTGCTGGTGATGGCACCGCGAGCGTGACGGCACCGCGAGCGTGACTAACACCGCGTGGCCGCCTAACCGGGCGAAGGTGTATAATTTGAGTGTTCGCCGGTCGTCCTGTTATTCAGCTCGCATCAAAGCTCAAGCTGCGCAAAGGAATGATAGTAAATGACCCTTTTAATTGAAGTGTCATTGCGGCTGTGAATGACACACGGGTCTCATTCATTACATGTCATAAATCTGGGGCCCCGGCCCTTAAATCACATCTTCCCAGAGGCCCCATTAAAAAAAAACACACACAACTATCCAGGAATCACTGGACCGCACTGCATGCTGGGACAGAGGGCTCACCCTTCTCTTCCCCATCCCTATCTCATCGGCTCTCCTGTAACAAGGAGGAGCGAGGCTACTAGGATCCTCCTGGGGGGCGGAGGCTGCCTGGCGGCATGCTTTGCAAAGCCCCGGAAAAGCCTGCGTATTTCTGCTGCACCTGGTAGCCAAGCCCCACCCCCCCCCCCCCTTTACCCACTGGCTGCAAGTAATGGACTTCTGGCAATACACATACCTAGAAACGGGAGAAAAGTGAAGCTCACATGTGACATGTCAACAAGGTCACGTGTCTCTCTACCAGGAGGGCGGGGTTATGGAGGTGATGCCCCTCCCACAAGCATTTACAGGGCTTAGAGGTCAATTTCATTATGTGACAGTTATACGTTGCTCAATGCTGGAACACAGCTAAGAGACTTTATTAACATCAGGCTAAGCTGAGTATCTCACTGAGTATCCAACAGCAAGACTCTTTCTGGGACATAGACCTGTAACCTTTTGGTCACATGTTGAATTCTTGTACCGCAGCCATACTTGACTCTAACCCAGCAGCGGATTCGACTGGAAAGTGAGGGAACAGCACCCCCCACAGTGTTAGTGACTAATTCCGCAGTTAAAGGACAGACAGCAAGGTCAACCGTGCCATGGTAACACACCAATACTGCATTCAGCAGCTCCTAATGTGTTTTTTTCCACCGAGCAGTAAAAACAGCCCACACAGGAGTTGGCCAGCTGTGAGGATCCACACGGCGTGTACCGGGAAACACACTGGTAAGCACGCTGGGAATGGGACAAGGCTTCTTTATGTCTCCATGAAGCACAAGGACAGGGACACGGGGCGCCACAACAGCTGGCTGTGACTCACAAGTGACGTGTGACACAACTGGAAAGTTACAGCACCATTCGTGATCATCTCCACCTCTCCAACGTTCTTGACAAGTGAAAAAAATCTGCGCTTCCTGTTATGTTTCAGTCCCAGTGACCCAAATTACCCCAAAATCTTGACGGCAGTCCCATCACCTATGTGTGCTTTTAATTCCCATCCTGGGACTCGTCTCGTTTAGCATCATCCTTATTTGACCCCACCCCCATCCACTCTGGCCCCACCCCCTGCTCAGTCCCTGTCAATTCCTAAAGCATAAATCTCCTCATCGCTCCAAAGTCCTCATGCTATGTGGTTCTGATTGCACTCCTGACCTGATACACTCACACTGACACGTCTTTCAAGCTAACAACCAGCTCAAATCAATTTACCTGGCTTTACCTGGGCATGACCAGGCTAATGGGTTTATATTTAAGGCCTACAGCAAACGGTCGTGGCCGTCTGGGTGGGGCAATTAGCCATGGCCCTCCTGATGGAGGATAGGGCCAGTCTTCGGGCCATCCGCCCCACACAGACACCTTCGAATTGGGCCCTTGAGCAAGGCCCCTAACCCCCTAAAAGAAGCTCTAGAGGTGCCGTGAAAATGGCCTCACCCTGCATTCTGACCCCAAAGCTTTAAGTATATCTTAAAGGAGAACAAGATGGGTTTACAAAAACTAAATAATCCCCACGAAAGGGGTACTCATACTTTCATTTCATTTCATTTCACAATGGACTTCTACTGGCTTATATTTCTCACTTCACTTCAGAAGAAAGAGCAAACAAACAAACAAAAAATGCAGTGCAACAGCCTGACAGTTACCTTTCATAGAAGTCATCCTGGTAACAGTCATATTCCAGGTCATAGTCAGATCTGTGGAGAGATGGACAGATATCAGCACAGAGACAAAGGGTGTGGAGGAGGAGTGCTAGGTGGCTGGTGGAGAAGGGTGTGGGTTCGAGGCCCCAAAGCTCCCCCCCATCCAGACTGAAATGTGACTGAATGTACACAGATCCTCCATCTAGAACGTTTGTTTCACATTTTATTTCTTTACCAAAAGAAAGCAAATAATAAGAGACAGAGGAAATACCCCCCAGACAGTATGTTGCATGTCTGGATTTTTCATTCTGTGTTGTTGTTTTTTTAAGCATTTTCACTGGTTTCATGGTGAAAAAATCCAGAACAAATGTGCTACAATATGCCCTGTTGAGCACTGGGCTCAGAAAAGCATGCAGCCCATAATCTGAACTGCCTGGGGGTACATTCTGGGGGGGGGGGAGGATGCCTGGTTTTATTTGCAGTATTATTGAATCTCTCTGTGTAACTGTACATCTGTGCATTTCTCAAATTGTACAATAAGTTTTATTTCTAACCTGCCGCACTTGATACTGGTCAGAAACCGTGAACTTAAAAAAGTGCACTTATCCGTCTGCACCCTGTCCGCCGTGCTCACGCTCACAAGGTTTTCGTCCTGGCTAATTCATGCACTCCGCTGATGAGTAACACACTCGCTGTCATGCCCAGGATGCTTCCCTGGATCAAACCCCGGTTATAAGATGCCAGCCCAGGCTGGCCAGATGTGCGCCAGCCCTATAAAAGTTGGCTAGGAGGCAGGATGCACGGCTCATGACGCTGGCCTGCTGCGTGACCTATCCCGCCCGCTGCCTTGGGACACGCCCTGCTGCGTCAGTATCAAGGGGGCGGAATAAACACCTTAAAAACCCGCGAAGGGGGTGGGGGGGGGTTCCCAGCAAGGGTCCTTCCACGGATTAGCTCAGGCGGAGACCAATCACTGAGAGAGCTTGGGAGGGACTGCGAGGCCGGGGCAGATTGTGGCCGAGTGTAGTGGTGGGGGTGACAAACCCATTCAGCCCCCACTGAATACAGCCGGCTGCATTGTCCCCCTCCCTGTCACTCTTCCCAGGCTCAATGCCCCTTCCTTCTAACTGTGTCCTCTCTCACTGCTTTCTTTGCATATTTTCTCACCATCATTTTGCAAGACCATAGCACAAACGGAGTACCTGTGCCATCTTCCCATCCACCAGACATGTGAATATCTTCATCGTAACGCGGTGCCCAAAATGTCTTTAAACTCGGGTTAGAGTTGATCTTTGCTGTGGAAATTGCATTCTGGGTTTCACAGAAGTGTACCCCCCCACACACACACAAATCATGTTGGCAATCATGGCACTATGGGAGTGAGTGAAGGAGGGGTTAGAGCGGGGGCAGTTCTAAATTTTTTAAGGTTGGGCTATCATTCATATAAAAGGTATCAACCAATGATATGTTCTGAATCAGTGACTGACAGAAGAAGGGGCACATAGGGGCCAATCAGCTTTCAGCTGCAGCCAGTGTACCTGTGACCCCGCCCCTGTGTATACCCCTTGGTTAGGAGGCAGACCGTCCCTCAAAAAGTGCAGATGGAGCGAAGGAGCGCAGAAGGAGGCACACGGATTTACACGAAGTTGCTCTCTATACATTCTGCACAAGATGCAACAATAGCACAAAGACAATGAATGGCAAGGAAAGATGGGGAAGTTACGCTGAGGACGGTAAGGCAGACAGACGGTAAGGCAGACAGACCGTGGGTAATTACACAATGGCTAAGACACGCGAGGATCAGGCAAGGGCTGAGTACATCCACAGTTAGACTTAAAGACAGACAAGCGGATCTCACTCGTAACCTGGGGACTGTCTGCACACAGTTATACACAGGTACACACACATATCTTTCCCCCACCAAGAACAAAAATGCCACACACACACACACACACAGGGTGCCAAAGATCCCCGTGGCTTTAATCTGCCCCTGAGCGCGGCAAGGTGATGAGTCCATAAACACGGTGGCGAGACTCTGCAGGAGCTGTTACCATGCTGAGTACACAGAGATGATGACGGCAGGAGCCCCACGAAGTGCCTCTTTGGGGGGGGGGGGGGCAGATTGGCTCTAAGACACTTCCTCCAGTTCCCCGCTTTAGCTAAAAGGGCCCAAAGTGGGCATTTTTCTGGGAGTTTCCCCTCCAATAATAGCCCACATCTGTGCTTTACAATCGTAGTCTTTGTACCAGACACCTCTAGACAATTCCCAGCTTTTATGGAGACGTTAAAAGAAAAACATTTGTCTTTTCTGGCAGCCTTCCTCTCGGCAGGAGCCGGCGGGAACAACGCAAGAGGCGGCCCCGTGTCCCCGTCATCGCGGGACAGTCCGAATTGTTTCCATTCGATTTCATCCTAACAGGAGGCAGCTTGCTGAACAGAGCAGCCTGTTAACGGAGCCCTCTGTATCTCTCGAGCTGCACGGTGGAAAGAAATATAAAGAAACCTTAAAAATACGACATTTAAATCTAATTCCCCATTTCTGACAGGTGACACTGTTCTTCTTAGATCTAGGTCTCAACAGAACAAGGTTAAGTTGTTTGAAGAGGTGCTGCCCCTACCCTAACCCTACCCTAACCCTAACCCTAACCTAGTTAATATTACCTTGACAGATACTTCCTTAGCAGTACTTATCGTTCTTCCAGACGCTCACATCTGTATTTTTAAAAAGTGTAGAAAACTGAACTCCCACTCGCAGCCACAAAAGCACGGTCTCTGCATACCTGTTGGTTCTGAGGCACAAAGCCGCCTGTTTCCGTGGCGATGAGGAACATGTCTGCAGGGGGTGCCGGTGGAGATTTTGGGCCCCATGACAGCATATCCTATTGGGCCCCCAGCCCAGACCAATCCAAATCTGTCCCATATCCCCTTTATGGCTTCCCTGCATGTCTGTATTCTTGGCCTGACTTCAGCGTTTCTTTCGCGTTTCTGTCTCACAAACTGCGTTGTGATGTGACAGTGGTCCAGAGGTCAGCAGCCAATGAGGCGAAGGCAGTGACCCGTAGGCCCGAGAGGAGTCGCAGGCATCATAGGAGTGTTTTGGGGGTGAGTTTTAAGGGATGGGCTGGCACCATCTAACCCCCCCCCCCCCCCC